CACTAGAAGATAGAAAATAATTAAAAGCAGAGCTGAAATCAATGAAGTTGAAACAAAAGAAACAATTGAAAAAATTGACAGAATAAAAAGTTGGTTATTTGAAAAAATGAATAAAATTGATAAATCATTGGCTATGCTAATGAAGAAAAGGAGAGAGAAAACTCAAATTACTAACATCCATGATGAAAAAGGAAATATTATGACAGACGCTACAGAAGATAATTAAAAATTATTTTGAAAATTTGCACTCCAATAAAATAGAAAATATCAAAGTCATCAACAAATTTCTAGAGGCATATGATATGCCCAAATTAAATCAGGATGTTATACACAATTTAAACAGATCAATTTCAAGCAAGGAAATAGAGGACGCCGTCAGAAGCCTACCAATCAAGAAAAGCCCAGGACTGGATGGATACATAGCTGAGTTCTACAAGAATTTTTAAAAAGAACTAACACTAATACTTCTATTTCATGAAATAGAAAACGAGGGAGCACTTCCAAACTTATTCTATGAGGCCAATATAACCCTGATTCTAAAACCAAACAAAAACTAGGCTAAATCTATGTAAAACAATGTTTTTCATTTTGATTATAAACATATATATCACTATTGATTCAATATTTTCCAGTTTTGTGTCTATGAATTTTCCTGTGTTCTTTAGGAAAAGGGTACCCGCAATAAGATCCTTAATGTCAAACCATTCCCCAATTTCTACTCCTATTTCTAATTATATTTCAAATTGATCCTGCAAATAAGTAGCCCCTTCTCTGAAGGACTTTAAAACATAAGAAAAGTCTGATTCCTTTTCCCAAGCCACTTTTCTTTTTCTGCCTGATAAAATTTCTTTAATTTTAAGTAACCTAACTTGTGAACCTACTCCCATTTTTACTGATAACCTCTTTTGATCCATTTCATGACTGTAGCTATTACCTATATGTTAATGATTCCCAATGAATACTTACTTCATCCCTCCCAAGCTCCAGACCCATATAAACCACTTAGCATTGGACATCTCAAGATAGTTTTCAAAGCACTTTAAGATCTATATCTCTAAATCTTAACTCATGATCTTCTTCCCCCAAGTGCTATTCCTGCTACTCAAATATTTCCATATGATTTCAAAGCAATATACTTAGACTACGTGTTTAGATATAACTACGTGCTTGATCATTCAGCCAAACAACTGACCAAATCTTGTATATATTAACTAATAATATCTCAAATCCATCTACTTGACTTGATCTCCATCACCACCACCCATTTCCAAGCTACTTTTATCTTCTCCCTGGACCACTAGAATACTCACTTCACTATGTTACTTCCTATGTGGCTGTGCTGAGATCCAGCATCTTGGCATCTATACTCACAAATCTGATCATGTTATTATCAAATATAACCTGTCCGTGGCCTCCTGTTGCTCTTAGATGAAGTTTGTATACCTTTATCACACCCTTTAAGGTCCTGCTTGAAGTCTGAACTATTTACAAGGCCTACCATAACTGATGTCTTCAGTTTTCATCTACCTCTCACTTTTCACTTTCTGTGTCTCAACCAAACTGGCCTTCACATTTCCAGCTAAGTCATTTGTTTTGTTTCATTCTAGGATCTTTACTTTCACTGTTTTTTCTGAGAACAATATATTTTCATATTTATTTCCCTTTAACTAGCTTCAACTTAAATATTAGTTTTTTGAAGTTGCTATGTCAGGCTCTATTTTTCCAAAGATGGCTACAGCACAGGAACATTTGGGGACTTTAAACATTTAGAACATTGCCCTTTAGCAATTGAGCAGTGGAGTTGATTTTCCTTCCACTTGGATCTAGCTGGCTTAGGACTGCTCCAAATAGTAGCGAATGGCAGAAGTAATGCTACATGACTTCTAGGGCTACGTCATAAAAGAGATGCAGCTTTTTTCTTTCTGACTATCTTGGAACACTCACCTTTGGGACCCAATTACAATGCTTAAAGTTAGTTGCAGAGCCCTTATGAGGAGCTCTAGCCAGCAATCCTAGCTAAGATCCTAGTCAACAGCCAGCATCAAGCACCAGACAGTGAGTGAATGACCTCCCAATGATTCCAACTTCTACACTTGGAGTCCTCTCCTGAGTTCCCAGACATCAAGGTCCAGAGGTCAGTCATCCTCTGTGTCCTGTCTGAATCTTTGATCTACTGAGTTTGTGACTATAATAGCTATTGTCTAAAGTCACTAGGTTTAAAGTTGATTTGTTCTGCTTGCCTGGAAGAAATGCCTCATCTTATCCTTGTCTGCACCTAGGTTCTGCTGTTGTAGACAACAATATCTTCCTTATAGTTCTTTCAACAAAGTCTTCAATGTCTGTCTACCTTCCCCTGTACCTTGGAAATTTGATGAGGATGTGGTTTTTAAAAGAATTGTTCACTTCTATGTTCAAAATATAGATATTTAGTAAATATGCTTTAAATTATTGAATAAAATTGTTAGAAATATTTAAAGAAAGGAATGTGATATTGAGAGTCAAAGCAGAAATTATTAGTGACTTTTCAAAAAAATCCTTTAGAAACAAATTAAGAGATGATAATGCTATGCATTGGGAATGCATTTTGGTGGCATTGGGAATGCATTATGAGATGGGAGGAAGCTATGGCTTAAGTAAGATGGATTAACAGCATATATTTTGACATGAAGCACAGCTAAAATCATAAAACCATGGAAATTAGAGAAAAAAATAAAAAATACCTTAGCAAGTTAAAAAAAAAAAACATACAAAAAGTCACCCAGAGCTTTTGGAAAGTCAAATATCTGAGCAATGGTGTCATTAGAGAAATGAAAAAGGAACAAAATGACATAAAAAGTAGGAACCAACATCAGTTGGTTATAAGTAACAGTTGTTATAAGTAACAAAATAAAAATAAGATTGAGGTCAAGACTGAGTACTGTCATATGTTTTTCACTAATTGCAAAGATTTCTTTGTAACTGAAGAGGATAGAGACTGTTGTACCTTCTTCCATACCAAATAAGGTAAATAAAAATTAATACATTTCCAATAACATCAGATATAAAAAACACATAGGTTAAGTTCTCTAACCCCATTTTCTTTGCAAAGCCTTAAATTCTTCAAATCTGATTTTTCCTTTTGCTAAGTTTTTCAAGATTCTAAAATTCTCAAGATATCTATATTGTATGCTCATTTGTTATAAACAATCGTGAAATTTCAAAAATAATTTAACACAGCACTTAAAATGAAGGAAAACATGTATGTAGAAAAGAAATGTAAGGGTATGTAGACCTCATTGATATTATCAATAAATCCTTAAGGAAAGCTATTTCCATTGCTATTTAAAAATTTCTATGGCATTGAAAATTGGGTAAACAAAGATTCAATAAAAAATCTCTGAAAGGAAATCAACATTCTTCTGCACAAAGAAAGAGCAATAATAAGGTACTTCAAGGATATGTGCCAAAATAGATTCAAGTTTTAACGAATATCAAAGAGAAGGTATAATAAATTCTCTAAAACCATGGTTCAAAACCAAGCACTTTGAGATAATAAAATGTCCAGTCAAATGGACTTGTCATGAAAGATTTCTACAGCAGATAGAAAAATGCCAGCAAAGCTTTACTGTAAGCATATGTAAGATAATGTATTAAGCAAGAGGTAATCCAAATCCCATTTACAATCTAATTGGTTCTGAGCTGTCAGCAAAACTCAGGAAACAGTCAGAAAGGACTTTGTAGATTGACACTCCCTAAAGGCATCCATGGAATGTGCTGGTGCCCTTAAACAGAAAGTCCTCCACACAGGAAAAGCACACAGGCATGTAGAGTAGTCAAAAACTGATTCCTGAACTGCCCAAATCAATCTCACAGCTCATGCAGTCTCCTTCTGATTTCCCAGCTACAAAATTCAGTATTCATTTCCTTTTATGCTACTGCTCAGCTCACAGATTTGACAACTTACGCTGTCACAGGCTAAAATTCTGTCCATCTACCCACCACCAAGCATCACCTGCAAACCTTCTAACACTATTCTTACTACACATGGCTCTTTGACCTGGATAGACCCCTTCCAAATACCAGTTGCCTCCCAAGGAAGACTGGGTATAATGTTCTGCTGTGACCAAAATGACTGGAAGTTTGATGGGGATGTGTTCTCACTTTTCTTTTTAAGCAGGAATACAAATCATTTTATGTAATGAAAACATTAAGAAAATTAAGATTTATTTTGCTGAATTTGGTTGTAGAAACCTTTTCCATAGAGCATCAACACAATAAAAGTTACTTCAATTTTGCCTAAATTATGTTGGTTTTGCATGAATATAAATTTCACCTTCCTTGTTTCTCAGTGAGTTGATCATCACTGGATAATGTCCCTTAGTTCAAATTACTGTATTGTCAAATTAGCAAGAGTACAAACAGGAAACAATAGCAATAGAATCATTAAAATGTAGGCTGTTAAAATATGTGTGATAATATGTACATTCTTTGAAAATACCAATGTCACATAACTGAAACACAGCTACTGAATGTAAATGTTCGTCTTTCCATGTCTCTCTAACTCTGTAGAACAGTACTACCTTAATAACTGATCTTCATGGTTTACAATTACCAAATGCCATATGCCTTTCTCTTAATTAGAATGATTTACATAGTACATCCAGTTTGCTTTATTAAAACAGTGCAAAACCAAAAAACCTTAATGAAATAACTAAAAGATTAATCCGTTAAAATATCAATCCAGTTTATGAACTAGTTTTTACTCTAAAGATTACCAGCAAAACTTGTGAGAGTCAGAAGTGGTCTGTGATGGAATTCTACAATTCCATTTACATTTACAGTGCCCCAAACACAACAAAGACAGATTTTTAAAACAGGTTGAGATCAATTTGTTCATGCCTTGAACATACAAGTTTTCACGCATTCCAATTTGCTGTGTAGTGTGCTTCTGCCATCTACTGGAGGAATGACATATTGCAGTTGCTATCACTTTTGCAGCAATTAAAGCGATGGTGGTTAAAGCATATTAACCAGTTTAAAGACGGTTTCTCTGGGTTCTACTGCGTCTAAAAAGAGACTAAATTGACTCTTCAAAGATTTCTAGGATAAGTGGCCTCCAGTGACCCTACCTCCCAGTATCACACCTGGTATAATCTCCTTCAACTGTGGGCTGCAGCTGAAATCTTCCAAGATAAGAGACCTTCAGTAATGCCTGAGAGCCTTTCTTTTATGGTAAGATTACTATTTTTTTTTTCCAAAGGTACATTTAAAATTCTAGGTTACTTGTTAAAAATGTGTGATACCATAGAGAGACAAAAGGAAAAATCTGGATTTCCACAAGCTGAACACCTAGATAACATATAGAAAAATGCATAGTTATATAATATCAATATGGATGGACATTATAAAGGATTTTCAGTAAACATTAAGTTTGGTTGAAGATTTGTTCTGACTTTTTCTATAAACATGATCAATTGGATAATTTCTATTTTATTTCCACAAGAAAAGTTTTCCATATGAATTTATAATAGCATTTAATCTTGCAGTTCTTTGAGTTTAGTAGAAGCAACAATATTACCTCATCCGAAAGGTGAAGACAGTGAAGTATTCAGAATTGGTAGCTGGCAGACTCCATGGTGGCCTCCAGTGACCCTACCTCCCAGGACCCACACCTGGCATAATCTCCTTCAACTGGGGGCTGCAGCTGGAATCTGACAAACAGCCCCTCCTCAACTGAATGTCAGTCAGAGACCCTTTAATTGAAGTCTTCACAACTAGTCCTTTGCATTCCCCAGTTTTAGGAGGAGTCCTACCAAGGTGTTTTAGCCAGAATCCTTCATTCTGAATGTTGCCTGTGTGGGAGACACCCCCTGAAGTTAAGTTTCCTTCTCTCGAGAACATCATGGAATCCCTTACCCCTCCCCCTCCTCTCTTAAGGGCACCAAGCCAAAGAGCACCAAATTCAGAAGTTTTCTTGACCGATCCCGGAAGGACACAGTGTCTGCTCGCGTTCCTGAGCCACCCTGCCAATCAGCACCCGCCACGTCACCTACTCAACCCTTCTTACGCGGAAGCTTGCAAGCTCACACTCTCTGCCTTCCTCCTCTCTTCCTCTCTGCTCTCTACCTCTTCTTTCTCTTCTCTCTCTGCTCTCTGCCTCTCTTCTTCCCCTTCAGGCAGTCCCCCAATAAAATCTCTTGGTTGAATCTCCGACATGGGTGAGTCACTCGCCTTTTACTGAATATGTCTTCACTATTGAAACATGATCAGATCCGAATTCCTCATCATTATATCTAATCACCCTCACCTACGTTCAGCAACAAACCTGGTTTTGCCCAAATCCTGGCCCCCACTGATGTTTCCTCTTAGTAATTTTCCATCTGCCAGTCCCCCACCACTTTCACCTCTACTCTGCTCCAGCTATAATTTCCTCTTTTTCTTCTTATATTTTAGAGTTGAGCCCAATCTCCCTTCATTACTACTGCAAAACTCTAATCCAGGGCTCTCTATTCCTATGAATTAATAATTGTCAAGAACAATTTCTTTCTTTAAAAAAAAAAAAAACACAAATAGAATCTGACATTCCCTGATTTACAATGGCTTGATGAACAATTTTTCTCATTTACAATGGTGAGAAAATACAACCATCCAACCTCTGTGTTTTTCATTTTCACTACATTGTCCAATAAGTTGCGCAAGATATTCAACACTCTATTATAAAACAGGCTTTGTTTTGTCCAACTGTAGGCTAATGTAAGTGTTCTGAGCACATTTAAGGTAGGTTAGGCTAAGCTATTATGTCTGGTATACTGAGGGCACTAAATGCTTTGTTGACTTATTATATTTTCATCTGGGTGGGTTTATCAGAGTGCACCCCATGGTAAGTCAAGGAACATTGGCACCTCAAAAAGGATGGCGTGTCATTTCTGAGGTTTGGTTATAGAAGACTTGGTTTCTGTCTTACTAGCTCTCCCCACCATCCCCTCTCACATTCTGTCTATGTGTGCATGTCTGTCACGTCTCCACCCCCCTTCTTTCTTGCCAACTCTGACAAAGCAAACCTCCTTTTTGCGAATGATCTTTGTGCCCTGTGGGTGACAAGGAACCCAGGAAACCTCTGATCAACAGCTTTGAAAAATAAGGCCCTCAGTATAACAACCCTGAATCATATCCCAGCAGATTAAAAAGAGAAATAAGAGAAGAAACAAATGATGCAGTGCAACCAAAGTGCCAAGCAACTATCTTTGCAAGCATCAATTAGGTAAATAAGGAAGCAGTTCAGTATAGTGATGAATGAAGAGTGTGAAAATATGCACATGAGCACAATGGATATAGATAATAAGCTCAATGTGGAAAATGCTGAAAGAAGAATATCTTCTCTGGAGAAAGACCAGAAAAAAGTTCATGGGACATAAAGCTTTTAATATAGGCCTTGTAAAGAAGTTTAGGATTCCAAAGTGGGGAGAGAATTCTGAGTACTGTTAAAACACGAAAAAATGTACAGAATTTAGCAAGTGTGGCATATTTAAGGGTGGTTAGTATATTGAGAAATATCAGGGACTAAATCCACAACAGTTAAAAGAGGTTAGAAGAGACCTGAATGCCAGATCTGAGAAGACTAGATTTAATTAATTTTGAAAGGATTCCTTGGAGTTCTTAGAGAAGTAGAAAGCTTTAATCAAATTAGTATACTGAAATAATTATTTTGCATCAAGTAAACAATGTTTTCATATAAATTTGGATAAAATTGTAAAATATTTGAAATGGACCAAAAATATTATTGGATGAATTCAGTGGCAAACTACACATGCTGAGAGTTGGGATTTAAGCCTACAATGACCTAGGGGCCAAATCTAGCTGTCAGCCTGTTTTTGTATAGCCTTTGAGCTATTAATGATCTTTATAAAAAGATCGTAAAGCAAACAAGATGAATATGTAATAGATACTCTATGAAGACCACAAAACCTAAAATATAAAATATAAAAAAAAATTTTTTATTGAGTACTTTACCCAAAATGTCTGCAAATCTTTGGTCTAGAGAATACTTTTTCAGGTTCTGTATTAAAGGGTTTTGTACATTTCGTGACCATTTAAAGTATTTTCTCTAAGTTGTAAAAACCAATAGCAGTGTGGATAATTCTTGTTTATAAGCACAAAATCATTTCCATCTAATGAAAAAACATTTTATTACTCTCCCTTACCCCAGGTGTAAGGCATTCCCCAAAGGTAAAAATCTCTTCATGGGCCAAATACCCTCCTCTGTTCTTCTGGACTGCTTGTAAATCTAACTGACTATCTCATTAATTCTCAAGTTACATAAAATCTTTGACCTATGTTCAATATTTGGCCTTTATATATAACTTTAAGCAATATGGGGGTTGGGGGAGAAGATAAATCAAAGCCAATTGAAAGCACCCCTTAGACTTAACAAGTCATAGTTGATAACATTAAACCCCACTGAACTCTGGATTTCTCTAGTTGATCAAATTCAGTAACTCCCAAGTACATATGGGGTGTAGAGGCTAAGCAGTTAACCTAGCATTCTAATGTATTAAATCTTGCAGCTGTTTTGGGGTGTCATGAGATGAAGACTGGGCAAAGTACTTTGATATAGAATAGCATCCTTCCTACTGGTTGTTCATCCAGTAAGGGACAGATAATGAGAGAATCCCCACCAAGTAAACATTTTAGCAAAAATCCTTCACTGAAACACGGGAAAGCAGAGTGCAGGAGGTCAAGCTGTGTAATTAGGTACTTTGGTGAATCTCCTCACAGTGTCCTTTTCCAAATACATTATGTGGTAGATACTGAGGTTTTCTCTTTTCTTGAAAAACAAGTAACTTTTCTCCCTGACCTTTTGATGTCCGTTTTGGACCAAAGTAGGCCTTCCTTCTCAATGTTCTTCCTTCTTTCTCATCTCCACCTTTTAACTTCCATACAAAAATCCTTTTTGATGGTTCTTCAATTGGCTCTTGTGGTTCATTAGAATCAATTCAGCAAATAACTATTTAGTTTTGCTCTACAACAGAAAGGGCTTAAGCCTTGAACCCTGGGTGAGTTGATATTTGGGTGTTTGAGGAACGTACTGGTGAGATATTTAAATTCTGTAAAATAGAGGAAATTTATTATCCCTATTACAAAACTCTAAATTAACTTTTCATGTTTCTTACAGATAATGGAAATGGAATTGGGGGAAAAGGGTGTGGATTGATAGGCTTTTAAGGGAAAGTAAGAATAAGTTGGCATTTTGTGGGATACAGAGGGTAAAACACAACAAGTGGCACACAGGTTCTTCAAATACATCCAGCCTGGGCCATTGGTAATGATATTAACTGACATGAGAATTCACAGGAATTAGTTTGAGGAATCATTTGAGAAATTGTTTTGCCTTTGTCAAAGTGAAGACCAAACATTTGTAGCAGTCATTAAAGAATAATATCCAAGATTGGGCCGGGGTTGTGGCTCAGTGGTAGAGCGCTTGCCTAGCATGTGAGAGGCCCTGGGTTTGATCCTCAGCACCACATAAAACAAATAAAATAAAGGTATTGTGTCCAACTACAACTAAAAAATAAATATATTTAAAAAAGAATAATTTCCAAGATAGTGATTAGGAGTCTTCAAACTCTCCCTCTCTAGTTTTTTTAAAATATATAATTGTTGTAGATTATGGTTGCCCCATTGTGCTATACAGTATTATAACTATGATCCCTATTTCTCTGTTCTCATACATAAATAAGTAAAAATATTATGTTAATTAAAGTAATGATATGATGGAGGAAATATATTATTGTGAAATATTAGAAATTTTTAAACTGGATACCAAATGGAAAACAAAATTCAAAGGTAATGATTAGGTATTGGAGAATAAATAACACATCCCATCCATACTACAGATAAATCGTACGTTTTGGGGTACTTATTTTCCCTTTAACTTAAGTCTAAAGTGAGAATTTTCTATGACCTCATAGAACTTCTCTACAATTTTATTCTTGGACCTGAAGAACAACTAAAACTTTATGTTCACATACCTTTTTATGTTTTGAACATAATTTTGGAAGTTCCTTATTTTTAAACAATTATTCTACATAGCAAAATATCTACTATTAGTCTCTGAAGGCTGTGTATCTTCCCTGATGTTTATTAACTACGCTCATGGGTAATGCATTCCTCAAAGACCAGCCTGCAATCATAGAATATTTTTTATCAGTGGAAGTTGATATCCAGGAATAGAC